GACATTCATTACACACTCCCATTCATCCAAATATGCAGAATACTATTAAAGCAGTATGTGTCCTGCATAATTTTGTTTGTGAACGGGATGGATTTCAGTTTGAGGACACCATCTCCCATAACCTGACCAGTGCAGATACAACAGCCGCTCATTGCAGCAGGAGTGGTGGCGTTATCAGGGATGCATTTTGTGCCTACATTGTGTCTCCCAGTGGTCAGATGCCATGGCAGCTTTAGGCTATTGAAAATATTGGCATCCACATTTTCTTTTTCTGCATCTGTATTATTGTTCTTGTTCTATTTTGTGGTTCTTCTAGCTATAAAATTATATTTTGTCTTTTTTCACTTGAAATTAATCTAATAAAAAAAAATCCGCACATTTTTGAGTTCTGTGCATTTATTTACTTTTTTTTTGGCTGATGCATAAAAAAAAAAATAAACTACAGAATAAGAACTGAAGTAAAGATAATGGGCTTATCTGCACTGCACCAAATCATCTGCCTCCCCTTGTCACTTGTCAGCAACACATTGCTGCAGAGAAAACAACTTGAATTTCCCAATGCATATTGTGCAGGAATCTCAAAAAACACATAGGTCAGAAAAGCAAGCAAAAGGCTGCATGTGTTCTCCAGCTGAAGTCTGGATATCAGTGATGATTCCTAACAAATATATATATGCAGCACCATCAATCAACAGAATACAGTTTTGTCACAGGTGCATCCATAGTACTCCCTTTTTTTTTTTTTTTTTTCTGTCTCACAGTGAAGGAATCCCATTTTGCATATATTTCTTGGGCTATTTCCTGCCATCCCTGCTGTTGCTTTGCTTTGAAGTCTGGGTCAACTGGATTATAAAGATAAACGCCAGGCCTCACCAGTTGTATCAGCACCTCCTGTCTTCACCATCTTGGCTGCTGTGTTGGATCTGACTTTCTGTTTTGCATGGAAGCATGGGAAGTCTGCTGTCAAGGGGAGGTGTTTGTAGTGAAGCATGTTAAAAAAATGCGAACAGCAAATGTGTACAAAATGCAGGACAAATGCAGCATTTGTGTTTTTGGATGCGATTCTATTGAAGTCTATTAGACCAAAATGCAAAACCGTGCGGAAAAAGAAGTCCCTGATTCTTTCTAAAAAGCACATCCACTAAAAATGCAAATGTGACCAATAGGAAATCATGTTAAATGGCTTACACTGCATTTCTGCAAAATGGAACCACAGTTTAAAAATGCATAGGTGTGAACCTAGCCTTAATCCATGCAGTTTTATCATATTAATTATTTTTCTATATTAAACAATGTACTGCATTTTTATGCTTTACCTGATCCTATTCATGCTGGTCACCTTATTTCTTTTATCTTGGATGGAAGAAGTATGGAAATTTTAAAACATTTTTACATAAATATTGTTATGCAGATTTTCACTTTCTGTGTGTCTTGTTTGTCGGTTTCTTTACCTCTCCATGACAACCCTACTTATTACTAACAAACCACATTAGCCAGAGTGCCCACGCTGTAAATAATGTTTATATATAGCTGGTGAAGATCACTCCACATTATCTGTTACTATGCGATTTTGTCTTTTTTTTTTTTTTTTTTTTTTTTCCAACGCTAAGAAATACATCCATTGTTTTTCTTAAGTGTGTAACCTATAGTAATACACCGAACTCTTGTGCTAATTTGTTGTTTTGTATCTATCTTCTCCAGCAAGAAGTCAATCCTATAAAGAGTGTTTAAACCCTGATTCATACAATGCAAATTGTCATTTGACTTGAGAGTTCAAAATCACATGACAAACCACACCCCTTTAACAGCAATGGAACCATTCAAATTGGTGTGACACAAGTCACAGCGACTTCGAAAAAGGTTCTTGCACTATTTTTTGTGTGATTTCATTGCAACTTGCATTGACATCTGTTAAATGAAGTTCGCACAATATGTCCGTAAGCCAGAATGAAGTTGCACTGAATAGTCTTCTTTGAAGTTGCATGAAGTAGCGCAATTTCAAAGCTTCACTGGTGTGAACTTTGGCTATATTTTTTTGGTACTATCCTCCTCCAACTACACTTTGAAACAGTGTTAGAAATGTATTTGCCAATATAGAAAGGCAAAATAAATTTGGTTATATGATCTGGCACAGAATGTAACAAACTATTTTTTAATTTTATAGTGTGGGTTTGCAATTCTAACTATATGGGTGGGAGGAGTGTACAAACTTGTTATTATTATTTTCCTAGTCTTCCTCCAGGACAGTTACATGAGGGATAGGCACCTCCTCCTACAGGTAACACAAGCACAGACAGAGGTTAAAGTGATTGTAAAGGAGAAAAAAAATGTCTATGCTTACCTGCTCTGTGCAATAGAGTTGCGCAGAGTGGTCATGATCCTCCTCTTGGCTGGTGCTCCTGGCTCCTCTCCTTTTGCTGGTGCCCCCGATAGGAATCAGATTCTCATGGGGGCACTTGTGCGGGCTCACCATTGACACAGACAGCGGGACTCGACCCCGCTCCCTGCTCTCTTGTTACTGAAGTTGATTGACAGAAGAGGGAGCCAATGGCTCCTGCTGCTATCGATTGCCGGATGAGGAAGGACAAAGCCAGGAGAGCCGCAGCTCTCACGAGCAGCGCTGGATCGCGATGGGGCACAGGTGATTATAAGGGGGAGCAGAGGGGATTCTCTTACACAGAGATTTTTTTACCTTAATATAGAATGCATTAAGGTAAAAAGCCTCGAGGCTGTAGAACCACTTTAAAAGCTTCCCACTCACTACTGCCCCTCAGTTCTTGTGTTTCCTGCAGACACATGCACAGCCACCTTTCAAACTTGGCAGTATTGACCTTTTGGTCTTGTCTAGAATGGTCTTTGGCTGGCTGTTTAAAGCTTTAAAAGGCTTTGTACCCTCCTAAACTATACATCTTTGTAGCCTATTGTGGAGTATGACTTAAGAAACCACACAGTTTTATTACTTGATAACTTCCAGGATGATCATGTGAGAGGCTCCTCCTACAGGAAACACTTGCACAGAGAGAGGTTAAAAGCTCCCACCCACTACTGCCTCTCCGTATTACCAAAGATGAACTGAAAGGCAAGCAAAACCACTCCTAGAACCTTAGGGCAGGATTCCTGGAAAGTTAAGTTATTCATCCTAAAGTGTTTTAATTTTATGTGTGGGTGCTTTTTGCTTGATTTTCAGTTTATCTTTGGTAATACTAAGGGTCAGTAGTGGGTGGAGAGCTTTTAACCTCTGTGCTTGTGTTTCCTGTAGGTGGAGCCTATCTCTCATGTTATCATCATGGAAGATTCCTGGAAAAGGAGTTTTCCGGTATTAACTGTGTTTGTTTATTTCTTACCTACCTTTTTTACATTCAAGGGTTTGTTGAAATTGACAGAAACAACATTTAATTTACAGGTACAAGAAGGAGCATCCAGGACCAGATTCTTAAGTGCAGTAAACCTTTTTAATTTCAGTTTGAACAGATTATATTACAACGTAAAAAACAGAACATAGTATTAGTAATAGGTAAAATGAGACCCCACTGTGGATCATTTAACATCCTTTTGCTCAGTAGGACAAAATTAGTTTTAATAAAAATTTGGAAATGCATAACAGAAAAGAAATGGAGTCAAAAAAAAAATTGTGGTATCCCCCAACATTAGTGGTCAGGGTAGAAGCAGCTCTCTACCTTGATGGTTAGTGGAAAATTGTCCCTTTTACCCTGGGCAGTGTTGGTGGGAGAATTATCTGCTCACAGATCAAGGAACCTCTAATTAGCACTTTAAGTGATACTAAATCTAAAAAGGTTTCTTTTTTTATCTTACTGTATTGATATAAAAAACATATTTAGCTTCCCTGTGCTCCTCCTTCCCTGTGTTAGAGGGAAGAGAGGGGAGAAGAGATCAGCACTGTGCATGGCTGCATCTTTTCTCTCCATTCCTCGTCACACGAAGACTCAAACTGACAGCAGCAAGAGCCAATGGCTCCTGCTGCTGTCAATCAAATGTGGTGAAGAGGAAGTGTGTGTGTGTGTGTGTGTGTGTGTGTGTGTGTGTGTGTGTGTGTGTGTGTCTATATCCCGCTGTGTGTGTCTATGGAGCATGGCTCCATAGACTCGCAGGTCGGGAGCGAGCACACAGCTTGTGTCCCCATAGCAGGAGGAGTGGAGGATCGTCAATGGGATCCCAAGAAGAGGAGGATCAGGGCCGCTCTGTGCAATACCACTGCATAGAGCAGGTGAGTATAACATGTTTGTTAAAAAGAAAAAAATGCCTTATTAACACTTTAAGGAACCAAAGCGTTCATTGGATGGAACCATGTCTAAGAAAGGCTTATTTATAATTCTGCTCCATTTTGACTCTTCATCTCACAACAGAGTGAAGTTTTGCATATGATGTCTTTAAACACACAATTGGCAGGCAGTGTAAATCTTCCTTTACTGTAGTAAATAGTTCAAGCTGTATTAGGAATAACAGCAAAAATAACCGCTTGAACTTTTAAAACATTTTTGTGTCCAACTAGATTTTATTTTCATTTTAGCCAAATAATTGTGGAACTGTTAGTAGGTGTTTTTATATGAAATATCTGAAGCAGAATGGGGACATATGTTCCAGAGGTGCTCTGGTATCCATCTGTAGAATATGTGCATGCTAAGCATGTATATATCCAAGCTTGTTAATGGCCTTTAAAGTTGTGGAGGAGGATGGCTAATCCAGTGTACATATTTGCAGGAAATAAGTAGTTTGAAACATCCTTTCTGCTCATGAAAGGGTTTCCGAGATTTGCTGGTAAAGCAGTCATGAATGACTGTGTAATCCATCAGCCTGAATTGTTTTTGTGTGAATTACCTTGCAGACATTCATACTGCAAAATGTCTGTTTTCAGATTTAGAAATGTAATGAAAGTGATAATATTCGATTATTTTTTTGTTGCTGGATGTATAAAAGTGATACTTTTAGTGTTAAAGTATTACTTAATTGAATTTGTACATCAAGTGTGCTTTAATTTCATTGCAGATATCAAGGACTGCATCCTGGAACCTCTCTCATTTCCAGAAAGTCCAGGACCTACAACTGTCCCAAGTGATGCTGTGCATTTGCCATGTATGTTCTGTGAACAGCTGTACAAGGTGGCGGAAAAGGACGGACTCATCAAACATATGATTATTGAGCATAAGCTTGTCATTGCCGATGTAAAGTTAATAGCAAATTTTAGGAGGTAAGGACCGTGTTTTATTATTGACACGCTGTAAATGTGTGTTTTTTTTTTTTTTTTTAACATATAGTTATTAGGTTTTTCTCAGTGAAACACAAACAAGAAAAAAGTTTTTTATTGATCTAGAATTTCTTATAACATCAATTTGTTAAATTAAAAATTAGTTCTCCTTTTCCGAAAAAAGTTTAAAACATTTTTGGTGATTAACTGTCAGAGCCCATGGAGCTGATGTAACTGTCCAGGAACTTGAAATCCCTGTCTTTCTTCCCTTTCTTTTTTAGGGCTTCCAGGATGGATCAGAGTCATACTGATTAATCTTCGGTGGCATATGACTGCATTGACCAATCAGAATCGCTCTAATCTGTCCTGGAAGCGCTACAGAAAGAAGGGGATGAAGACCAGTTGTGCAAAGGTATGTGTTGAGAGTACTGGGGAGGCGCAAAGAGAGGGTGTAGTGTTCACCTTTTCATTTTTCTGAAAAGGTTTATTACTCTTAAATTATTTTTCATGGACAATAAAATTAACAATTTTTCAATACATTGCATCTTTACCCCCTTCCTGTCCAGGCCAATTTTCAGCTTTTGGCACTCTCACAGTTTGAGTGACAGTTGTGTGGTCATGCAACACTGTACCCAAACTAAATTTTTATAGTTTTTTGGCACACAAATAGAGCTTTCTTTTGGTGGTATTTAATCACCAATGATTTTTTTTTGCTAAATAAACAAAAAAAGACCACAAATGTTCTGTCATAACATTTTGGCATTTAATAATTTGTTGTTCATAAATGTAGGCCAAAACATGTTCTGCTACATTTCTTTGTTGAAAATAACCTAAATTAGTTTATATTTTTTAGTCTGTAGGAAAGTTATAGAGTCCACAAACTTTGGTATATATCTGAAAATCAGTCAGTCCTGATGTACTGATGGCACTGATCTCATTTCTTGAGGCTCAAAAATGTCAGGACAGTCCAGATATCCCCAAATTATCCAATTTTGGAAAGTAGACAGTCTGCGGTATTTAGTAAGAGGCATGGTGCGTTTTTTTGTAGTTGTAAATTTTTTGTCATTTTTTTTAAAAATTGTTGTGAAATAGTACTGCCTGGACCTTGAAGAAGGGGACATACCCGAAAGCTTGTCCTCAAAATTGTATGTTGGTGCAAATAAAAAAAAAAAAAAAGTATCACGTCAGTACTCAATTGTTGAAAATTCAAGTAATGTAAAAAACGTTTTTTCACAATATTTTGTTTTATTTTGTTCAAACATTTTATTGAATGAAAATGAAGACAATGAGCAATGCAAAGCATACAATGTGCATACTAGCAATAGGGAACCCTAGGTACACTAGCAATGATAAAGTTGTTATTCAAGTTCAAACAGAGGGAAACCGTATCCTGACATAGTAAAGCATAGTACAACTAATGAAGGTAGAACTCTGTAGTAAATAGAGCAACAGTGGACCTAAATCAAATAAGGCAACTTGCGGTTAAGAAGAAAAAGGGCAGCCCGTTATTATGTAAGTATGTGGACGTGGGAGTTCAGCTCCCGTGAATAACATTGGGTCCCGCTGTTGGATATCAATTGCAAAGTGAGGAAAGAAAATAAAAGATAAAAAGAAAAGGAGGGGAACAGTGTCAGAGAGAAAAGTAGAGGGAACACAGGGCAAGGCAGATAGCATAGAAATGTGGCTACAGAGAAGGGTAAGATTCCTGGGACCAAACCCGACAAAGGGTCAGCATAGTACATGCCTGAGGGACTTGATTGGTGGCTATCAAGAGAGAAGCAATGATTGATCAAAGTTTGGAAGAAAGTAACGTTCAACCCAGGGAGCCGTAAATTTGGGAATGGTGTTTGTAATGGTCGTGTCTACCTTTAGCGTGAATCATAGCTTGCGTCAACTTGTTTCTAACTTTGAGCACGCTGAGGGAAGGGGACTTCCAGGATTTCGCCAAAATTTGTTTGGCAGCTGTGGTTATATGCAAAAGGAGTTTTTAAAATGGCGTTTAGATAAGTGTTGTGGCTTAAGGTTCAATAGTGCAATAACCGGATTTGGAGGAAGGGGCGTCGTGAGAAGGGAAGATAAAATGTTAAAAATTTCAGTTCAAAAAGCTTGAGCAACCGGGCATGACCTCCATACATGAAAGTAAGTACCTACCATCATACATCCCCAAAAACACAATCAGGAGAATAATTGGGGATATATTTCGCAATCCTTGCCGGGACCAGGTACCAGCGGGTTAGGACCTTGTAATTGTAACTGGTTTCTACAGCAACTATTTTTCTGTGAAGTCGATTTGGTGGCTAGCCAAATTGGTCCCAATCAGTAGGGCCAAACTGGTACCGAGGTCTTCATCCCACTTGGTGACATAGGAGGGGTTGGGGAGGTTCTGGATGACTGAAGGTGCAAATATAGCACCGAGATGAGACCCCATCTATGTGGGTCCTCCTTACAAGAACTTTCGTTCTGGTAGGGGAGGATTTTGTAGACAAGGGAGTGAAGAAATGTTGAGTTGTGGGTATCTAAAGATTTTGGACACTGGGAGAGAATATGATTCACGAAGAGAAGGAAAGGATTTATTCCCAGTTATAGTCAAAAACTTATAGGCTCGAAGTAAGTTTGCTGAGGACCAAGCTGTGAAGGAATGAGGAGAGGACCAGGCTGGTGAGAAAGCAGGAATATGGAGAAAAGAGAGTAGGGGGTTATGGGGCGATTGGAGGGAATGTCGAGATTTGAGTCGATCCCATAGGGATAAGAAGTGGCGAGTGATTGGGTTTTGAAGTGTCCAGCGGTCTGAAGGCTGGAGCCATAGAAGGTTTGCAACAGATAAAGGGTCTCAGTTAACCGACTCCACGGCAACCCATAATGGGGTTTCAAATCTCACATGGTATTTTGGGAGTTGCTCGAGATGAGCGGCATAATAGTACTTCATAAAGCTGGGAAGGCCTAGGCCACCCAGAGGTTTAGATTTTTGAATGGTGGGATACGGGGATGGATAGAGCCCCAAACATAAGTATAAGTACGTCGTTGAAGAATGTGAAACAAATCTTGGGCAGGATGGTCATTTTTTATTACCGTAATCCTACCCATCCATGCCAGAGGGAGAGTAGACCATGAGTTAGCATGGGGAGGTAGTTAGCTGAATAAAGGTTAGGCAGACTGTCAGTTTAATGCCCAGATAAGAGATGGAGTAAGGAGACCAGGAAAATGGTAGAGCATTTTGCAGGCGGGCTAACTCTTGAGGGGACAAGGAAATGTTTAGTGTAGTCGATTTTTGGGGGTTGTCCTGGAGGCCAGACATTCAACCAAAGTTGTGAAGGAGACGGAGCAAATTAAGGGCTGAGATTAATGGAGAAGTCATAAAGAGGAGTACGTCTTCTGCAAAAAGGCAAAGTTTGTGATACAAGCCGCCTATTACGAGCCCTTGGATATTGGGATAGGCTCAGATTAGAACAGCAAGGTGCTCGATGGCTACAGTGAAAAGCAACGGTGAAAGTGGGCATCGTTGACGGGTGCCTTTCTGAATTGGGAAAGGGTCTGATTTGTGTCCCATGTAGCGTTTACTAGCCGAAGGATTACAATATATGGAGGATATCCATGAGAGGAAATGAGCTCCAGAACCCCAATGTTGGAGTATGAAATGAAGGTATGGCCAGGAAACCGTGTCAAAGGCTTTCCTAATGTCCAGAGACAGAAAACAAGCGGGGATGCTACGGGTATGAGCTATGGGAGCAGGAAGAGCTGCGTGTTGGATATTATCACCCGCTTGGCGAGTGGGGATGAAGCCTACTTGATCATTGTAAACAAGGGAGCCAATGATTGGGTTGAGGTGAGTAGAGAAAATATTTGCGAGGAGTTTAATGTCTATATTGAGGAGAGAAATGGATCTGTAATTAGACCAAGAGGAGTCATTAGGTTTCGAAATCATGGTTATGGTGGCTTGAATGACTGACCGGCTAGGGTGGCATTAAAGGTGTTCGCTAACATGGGGGAAAGGAGATGGGCAAATTTCTTATAATATGCGGTGGAGAACTCTGTCTGGACCGGGGCGTTTACGTGTTTTCAGGGTTTCGATAGCGTTCAGTATCTCCTCTTGGGTGATCGGCTTTTTAAGTCCTTCCTGCTGAAGGATTGTTAATTTCGGGAGGGTGATACGAGAGAGAGGTTTTTTGCTATGAGTCTAGTCGAAGGATTCTGTGTGGGAGTATAAATGGGCCAGTTATTTATGGAAGGTTTGGAGTATCCGTATGGGGTTACTTGTGTAACTGTCTTTGGAAATCTTCAACCGGATAGGTTTGGTGGCACGATCTAGTCTACGAAGTGCGAGGGCCAGGAATGTATCCAGCTTGTTTGCTTTTGTATAGTATTTATGATGAGATCGGCGAAGAGACAGTTCAGTTTGAGTCGTCAAAAAGAGGTTGAGCTCTAATCTTGACTTTTCTAGAGCTTGTTGGTTCCCTGATGAAGGAGTTGCTTGAAATGCTGAGTGGGATTTGTTGTAAGCTGCTTCCAGGCACTGACATGGTAAACGTTTCTCTTTACTAATGACAGATGATTTTCTGAAACAAACTCGGCTAAGGTTTGGTTTATGTGCCTCCCATAAAAGTAGGGGAGAGATATCTGGAGAGCAGTTCTTGGACACATAGTCCTTGATCGCTATCTCTAGGTCAAGACAATGGGATGGGTGGGACAATAAATTATCGTTGAGAATCCAGGCAGCATCTTTGGTAGAGGGGACCAGAGAGGACATAGACATAATGACCGTGCTAAGAGCTGGGAAGAGGAGCTGATAGTGATTAAGATATGGTCTATGCAGGAGAACGTTTTATGTGGGTAGGAATAATAAGTATATTGACGCCTGACCGGGTTATGTTCTCTCCAAGAATCTACTAAGAAATGGTGATGGAGCAATTGCTGAAAGGAATGTTTCGAAGTAGATGTGAGAGGCAGTTGGAGGGGATTTATCAAGGAAGGGATGGAGGGTGTGATTGGTGTCTCCGCAGATGAAC